GATTCAACTCTGCAAACATAAGCTGTGCTCCATTGTTCTGTTTAGAGAGCAAACACTTTCTTCTGGCAACCCTTCCAAACAAATCGTACTTGTTCAGCCTTTCACTAAATGTGGCATCATGAACTTTAACATTTACCATGCTAACAGAGGCCTCTAGAGTTTGAGTGGCTCTTGAGCTTTTTGCAGTTTCTCTGAGCATTAAATTGTTTGATCTTGGAGTGAATTTGCTTGGATGGCCACTCCTGGGAATTTGTGGCACAAACATGCTCCAGAACAGCAAATGGCCAAAACGTCTGCCTTTACAAAAGTGTTCCCACCTGCTGATGACCAATGAAGTGCACTTGGTTACTACTTACCGTCTTAAATCATGTGAAACCAGTTAATGTTGAAATACTATAAAGTACTTTGAAAAAAGTAATTCAACGTAAAATAAAAAAATGTGACTGTAAATTACACACAGTGCACTGGATCTGTGGTTTTGTTTCTGGGTAGGGTTACGTTGGCATGGAAGTTTGGTTTATAGGAGATGATTTTAAGTTTTGGTCTGCATATCCAAACCAGATAGCCAGAAAAACTGAGCTGTTGCTTCATGGTTGTTGAATGCTAGGAGGGTGAAAGAGTGAGTTCCTTTACAATGTGTTTGACGCGCCATTTTCCATCAAATACCCTGTTGGCTCAGCTAAAAAACCTGAGATATTAAAAGAAAGAGAGATGACATTAAGAAAATCGGAAAACTGAAATTTATGTGCGAGTTCTATTTTTTTTTTTTAATCAGGTTTGGCTGGTAACTCTGTAGTTATTTTAGATAATGCTTCAAAAATAATGGCACAAATAAATGACTGGATGCACATCAATATGGCTGCCAATTTTGGAGTCCTGCTTCGAGTGTGCTGTTGCACAATAGCTGGTAGACTTTATAAACTTCTACACTGTCACATAAGGATTTGTTTGACCTGCATGAAAATCAAATGAGGAATGATTCTCTGTACCTGTAGCTGAACTGTTATGTGAAAGAAAACGGGTCGCAAGAGAAACCACCTGACATGACTTGACTTGTACATTTTATAGAGCAGTAATTAGTGAAGAAGAGACCATAAAAGGCCACAGTGACAGTCAAAGTGTTTGTGTGTCAGTAGAAGTAGGTGGCTGATTTTAAACGGGTGCATCAGTGTGTGACAGCGCTCATTTCCCTGGCAAAAACAGCAATTTAAAAATGCATTTCACCAGATGTTTTATGAGACTTGATGAAAGTGAGGTGCCATTAGCTGAAATTACAATCTTAATTGTGTCCACTCTGCACAGCCAGACATAATCTGCACCAAAACAGTACTTGAGTAGACCAACCATGACCAGACATCTTAATGCTATAAATGACAGACGGCTGAAAGACGTCTATTTTTAAAGGATGCGCTTGGCAGAGAAAAAGTGGGATAGTCTGAGAGTTGAAAATAGTCGGCAGGAATAAAGTGAAGCACTAAAGGCAACAGAAAAGGCTTGTTGTGAGTTGTATGTGAGGCTGGACACATACAACTCACTAAGGAAGGAGAGAAGAACTTGTATGGATTGACTATGCAAAGAGATCGAGCTAGAGATGATGTGCAGTAGGTTAGTATGGTTAAGGATAGAGCAGTACGGTTTCATACTAAGAGAAATCTACAGATGTGATGTTTTCTTTCACAGTGTTGATGGAGAATACAGAGAAGGTCAGAAGGAGCTGCAATCCACTCTTTGTGGATCTAGACAAAGCGTATGATAACGTGCCAAGAGAGGAACTGTGGTACTGTATATGCATGGAGACAGTGGTAGGAGTAACAGGTGGGTCAAGATTGTGGTGGGAATACATCTGGGATTGGCTCTGAGCCCCTTCTAATTTGTAGTGGTGATGGACAGGTTGACTGGTGGGGTCAGCAAAGAGTCTCTGTGGACTCTGATGTGTGTAGATTACATTATGACCTGTAGTGAGAGTAGGGAGAAGGTGAAGGTAGAGAGGTGGAGGTATGCTCTGGAGAGATGAGGAATGAAAGCCAGTAGAATTAAGACACAATACATGTATGTGACAGTGAGGATGCAAAGAGTAGAGTTAGTGAGGGTACGTAAGTTTAAGCTACTGGCATCATTCTTCCTACAGACAGTCCACTAGACAGGTGAAGAAGAGAGTGCAGGCAGGGTGGGGCGGGTGAAGATGAGTGTCAGTTGATTTGTGATAGAAGGATAATAGCAAGAGTGCAAGGGAAGGTTTATAAGGTGTTAGTGAGACCTGCTATGATGGTTTGTAGACAATGCTATTTTGATTTTCTTTGGAAGTGACCAGAATGGATAAGATAAAAAATTAGTTCATCAGAGCGACAGCTCGGGTTGAGAAAAGTAAGAGATGTTGAAATGGTTTGGACATGTGCAGTACTGATAGGAAAGAGCAAGATTCATGGATGTAGTGAAGGAGGATATGCAGAGGATCAGCTTAGATGGAACAGATGGTCTCCTGTGGTGAAGCTCAAGGGAGCAAGCTGGAAGAAAAAGCTGAAAGACATCTCTTTTGCTTAATCGTCTTCTTTAGAATATGAATTATTTGACATTTGAG